CACTAAAAAATTCATGTTAACAATTCCGTGCCTGTTTATCAAGAAAACACCGAATTATTCAAACCATATGGCAAGAAATCTATTTGCTGCGTTCGTTTTCTAAGGACTGAGATTGCTCGCATGTTTCTATAAGATGATGAGTGACCTGCATTCAGATCTTTGAGCAAAAGTGCTAAATCAAGAATGTCAAAGAGAAACTAGGTCTATAAAAATCTATAAAGAGTGAATAAAAAATGAAAATGTATAAAACTCAATAAGCTGTTCTATAAAAAGCAGTCGATAGAAAAGGTATGATTTATTGCAACAGCTACGAGCTCGAGCCGGTCACCACAATGTCAGATAACTCATCACCTGATTTGTGGTTATTTATTACTTGGAGTCGATTCCTTTATAGAGGATCATTTAACCTCAGGTGATCGACTGAACAGAGGGAGGATGCTACTAATGAGTCGCAGTAGGACAACACAGGTACCTATATAACACTAAACCTTACAGCTCAGATCATGTTATATCCTAATCTCATTATATCATTTTGAGCGGGTCTATAAAAGCGGTCGATAAAAGGAACTAATTCTTTAAATTTATTCCTAAAGGGTTAAAACATTGCTGAAAGGAAGTGAAAACAAGTACCTCATCTCTGTAATGTGCAATTTGAACTCCTAAAAATGGTGATCTCTGGTTCGAAGCCTAGCTGGGGTTCGCACTTTCGCACGCAACTTCGCACCTCTGTGGTTGTATTTCACATCGTACCCTTCCATATTGGAGAATAAGCAGAAAATAGAGATTGAATATCATACCAAAAATTTCGAATGATTAAAGTTGTCAACATAATGAACCAACTCGTCGTGTGGTCATCGCTCATCTATAGTACTTCTCCACCGAGTTTTTTCCGCGTTGTCGCTTCCATTTCACACAACAGTGGTGTCCAAATTCCACGATTTCTTATTTGGATTTTAACCAAATTCCAGATCTTGTTCGTAATTCTAACAGTTTTATTCTCCTGGCTTATTGTCACGCATCCGTCATTCATAGAATGCTTTTGAATGCTTTTTCATTTTCGTGGCGGGTTCACCTGTAACTCGGCGAATTAGAGAAACTCCCTCTCTTATAAACGTCGCCGTTGAAGGGATTCTTTTTGGAATACAGTCCCATTAATGCGTTCTCAAGTAATAGCCTCAGATAAACGGTGACCTTTGTGTATCGCAAGAAATTTTCCGCAAAAGTTACTGCAACAATTTGCCAAGTCTGTAGGAATAACAGACTTGCTTGCACTTTGTGGTGCCAACCTTTGTCTGTTTTGCTCCGCACATATACTACTCAGACCCTTGTTCAGTGCTCAAGCTAATAGAAAACGAGGTTTAATCATGTTCTTTCAATGTCGTGGCGATATTCACTAACGAAATTATATTCGTGACCAGTTTAATCCAACTAATTTCATCAACAATTACGCTGTCCCCCGTTTTTTTTTTTTTTTTTTTTGAAGGCTCTGGTCACGCTATTGAACTTAAACCGCGTTAGTGGTTTTCTTCAAAACATACGTGTTGATACTATGTTATTCTATAAGTTTCGGCACTAGAGAAATTATAGCAGCAAATTTTTTGATATCATTTACTTGCGCATTTTCTTACGAACATTTTGACATACAACTTGCTTGCTTTTGGTTTTAACGCCTGAGGGAGAATGCTAGTGAAACGACACGCAAGATTAATGGAACTTCTTGTAGACAGCCCTAGCTCATCTAATCCTCTTAAGCGTTATCTCCAGTTTTTCACTTCGAAAACCAATTCCTAGCCTTCCTTTCTGCAACTGTATCATCGCCCTAGGCTCCCATCTTGCGCCCCGCTTCATTAGTATTTTCCCTTACTCGCATTCGCCCACTAATAGTAAACGAATTTGTTCTCAAGGCAGCTCTATCTAAAAGCATTGGTAGGTAAGTTGTATACCAAAATGTTCGCAAGAAAATGTGCAGTTGAATGGATCTAAAATCATGCAGTTTTAATTACTTCTGCTTGCTAAATTTGATATTTATTGATCTAGTGTCAAAATTCATGGAAGGATCTAATATTTCCGGTCACCTTCCGTTGTTTTTTTCTATGCTCAGTACATCATAATGAATAGAATTGAATGTGAAGACAACATTCTTCCAAGCGATTATGTCTGAACGAAATAGAAGTTCCATATAAGAGCGACTGAACAGATTACAAGGTGAATTAAAGGACGAAAAGGATTATATGAAGCCTTTAAGAGATAAAAGGTAGAGTGAAAACAAAGTGTACTATGTTGATCTCTGTTATTTCCCATCTACCTAGCGTTTCAAGCATGTTGACTGTCTATGTGTACCTTATGCAAACTCAACGCGATTCAGAAATCTAATCGAAAATTTACGTGAACTGTTAAGTGCAGACATAAATACATATATTTATTCATATATAAATATTCATATATATATAATACATACATATATTCATTCATATATACGCGTATAGTAACGACTAGAGTTGCCTTACTACTCAAAGGAATCGAGCTTAATGCCGCATCTCCAACACAAATATCTTTCCGTCATTGCAAAGTCGAAAAACTGATACCAGACATATCTGGGAGTATAGGAACACTGACTCGTCAAGTAAGTGGCCTTCAGTAGGTCTCAAGCGACCATGAGTCGCCGCTATGATTCTTAATGAGGTTGGATGAATAAAACATCTTGGAGGGATCAACCAGCAGGACGTTTTATACCTCTCTAACTTTGATATTCAGTATAAATGGATCAGCAGTTTCATAATCTCACAATTTGAGCATTGTAACGTCGTAATTTGTAGTTCACTACAATGCTTACGTGGTCTCTTGTTCAATCCAACACTTCTGTTCGACTAATTTCGCACCTCTCGGAGCCGGCAGATTGGTACCTGACTTGTCTGATACGATAAAAACAATGGTTTTACCACATTTGAACATCTGTTTAGTGCCTATTTTTTCGAAGCAGGGTACCTTGAAATATATCACAGAAACGCTGAGATAGGTGAAAAAGTTTAGAACTTCAGTTGTACTTCGAATCAGCGATCACACTCTCTCCCTCTCTGGTAAGCTCACGTGCTGTCCGCTCCACAAATCTAGGTCTTTGCTTTATCCCTCTCTCAGCTATGTTTTCCCTGACTTGATACATCAGCAGACCACCTCAGGTGAATGGGACCAAACAACATTCAACCGTCTTTGCGATGTCTCGAACGAATCCCAGTGCATGACACAGCCACCAAAGATTGATCAACGATGAATCCCATATTTCTTGATGTTTTATTATAAGTTCTAATCAATAAACTCGTTTCTCATTAATTTTTCATCATAGAGAAGAGCTTGTGTCACAACTCTTTGCCTCTCTGCAATACATCTATATTTTCTGCCTCTCTGCGATACATCTACATTTTCTTCGTAATTAGTTTGTAATGAATAGTAATGAGTAATGGCGAAAATACTTCCTTATTCGTACTCATTTCATGAATATTTGAATTGAATACTTTTTTCCATTATCTCGTGAAATGAATACGTCATACATTAGTCTTTTTTCGCAAAGTGTAGTAAAATTAAATTTCCGACTGAATATAAATATGGACTCTCGTGGGCTGAATGTTTATATTGCACTTTCTTACTAATTAACATTATTCGTACCTTTGTTCATGTAATGTTAAACATGTAACCATTATATCAGATTATCATCATTTTTTGACCCAGGTCTAAAAAGCTGTCGAATGAAAATATATGACTCACTTTACCATCCACGACCTCCACTGTTAGTGAACTCCACTGAGATTTTACTACGGTTGGAAAGAAACTTCTTAGGCAATCTAACAAGCATAACTCCCATACATATCATTGGAAAATTACAGTTTCTTACGTGGGATTTTCCCATTGAAGGCCTAGATATTATTCGTCTTTATTCTTACAAGCCTCTGCCATGTCCAATAATTTTTGAAGAGTTGCTGACTCGGATCTTTCAATGAAGCTGAAGGAGTATGTCAAGAGTTTTGTGATTTAAAGTCGAAGGAATGATACTTCGACCTGATCTGATACTTAGCAGAGCGGTGGCAGAGAGTCTTAGAAAACGGTGATCTTAATTTTGGAGAATAATTATTATTGTTTTTGCTTGAATTTCATGCATGAATTTTCAATTTTTTCAAAAGTGCTCCAGGACTTTCTTTCCAACCTCATATAACCTGATTTGAGATGATTTGTTATTTGACGTGGATTTTTTAATAAGTAAGGTTATATACTCCTGGAATCGACTGAAACGAAGGACATGGTACTACTGATGAGCCTGGGAAGGCGAAACTGGCCTGTCTAGTACTGCATAAGTGCCACACCAGACCACAGAAAAGGCTAAAAACATGTCATCACATTACTTTTGTTTGTTCAATCTTATTCGCATTCTTTACTTTTTATTCCGTCTTCTTTAATCAATCATTTCCATCCACGAATCATTTGAATGCTTTTGTCGTTCCATGCAAACTTTTACGTTGTACGGTTCAATGCAAGATCATACCACCGCAACACGCGGTCAAATAAAATATATTCTGATAAAGATGATTAGCATGAAATGCATATGGTACTGGAAATAGGAGCTAATAAAAGAATATCCTGACAGCATACTTCAAGCCTTTCGTGAAGCCTTTTATGGCATCTCTAATGCTAGACATACGTTTTGGCTTATTCTTATGGTGCCATAACGGACGTCATGAAAAGCTTAACTGATGCGCTCCGCTATATTAAAATTTCAAGCGAGGTCTCAGAAACAGTCGAATATAAAGGTATTATTTGAAGAATAGTTACTATAGGGGGAGAGTACCAGTGTTACGTAACGTTTCCCATCAATGCCCATCGACAGTCAAATACAATTCATTCTCCATATACCTAGCTGAAAAAGAAGGGAAAAAGAAGAAGCAAGAAATATTCAGTAAAATTTGATGATAGTAGCATACTTATGCGAAGAGAGGAACCAAATACAACATTATTGCGTCAGCTGAGATTCGAACCCAGATCTCCCTCTTTCCATGAGCGCGTACTGAACCGTTGTACTACAGACGCCCGTTTTGCACACCACTCTTTCTAAGCTATAACGCGTTATCTGTCAACAAGCAACCGTCTACGGTCTGGCGGGGCAGTCATAATCAACAATGAACCCACTTATGCTGACATATATTAGGTTTTGATAATCAATCAGAACATATTTTATTTGACCGCGTACTGTGGTACATGATCTCACAATAATCGCTCCCGGAAAGAGTGAGATCTGGGTTCGAATTCCACCTGACGTAAATGTTTTTCCACACCACTCTACATTATCAATCATCTTTATTATCAAGCACATCCACTTTTACTAATAAGCAGCTCTGCCAATTTGTTGCGCAACAATTTCGCAAGAATTCTTAGCTAGAGACGTTTTGCACCTTTGCCACGAGTTAGAATGATGTCACTCCACTCATGACTGTACTTTTACATCTCTTCGACTACTTCAGTTTCAGGAAACTCCGCCCATTACAGAAGAAATGAATAGCATCATTAGTCATCAATCAGCACTCCCGTTGTCAAATCTCTGTTTTAGGCGTTGTCTTATTATTATTACACTATTTTTATTATTACATGAATCGCCATCACATCTACTGTGCGCATCTCATAACTTCCTGTACATGATTCGCTTCCTCGTATTGTCTCTGAGGTGTTCAAACATTTCACGGCTTCCACTGTGACTTGGGGATTTACTGTATTCTTCATGGATTTTGTAGAATGCTGGTAAAGTCAACTAGCTCATAATCTTGGAGTTAGCCGAGCTGGCGCGTTAGCACGTGTATTGCAAGATTCTCCTATTCAAGCGATCGAACCACGATCTTGCCTACTTATGGACGGACTTCAACACTAACCATTACGCTAGTTTGCGTCTTGGCTCCTTTATTCCTTATATTTCAGCATATCGTCACACTGCATCGTCGTAATACTATACTAATACCTCTGTAAACGAATTGACTCACTATGGAGCATCGGTTCTGTGAAAATAACGAAAAGTCGCGCGTGGCAAATCATAAAAGGCGAAAATTCTATTATTATTGCGCTACAACTTGGTGCCGTCCATCGACTCGCTAGACTTTACTTCATTGAATTAACTTCTATATTTTAGTGCATCGGCTTAATTGACATATTTTACCGTATTGGCTTGACTGACAAATTCCCATACTCTCGACGGAAGCGTTTTCCCCAACCTCCACCTACACTGACTCCGCCTTCTCTATTCGTTATTAGCAAATTATTATACTTTATTCAATGAGGATGATAAGCCATTCGTTATTTATTATATTACTAGCTGACCACTTCGATGAACGCGAATTTTGAATTTTGAATGCACTGCCTGAGCTGGTCAGAATTTTATTGAAAGGAAATTATTTGAAAGAAGAATATGTTTCTTTCATCACAGCCAGGACATATTTGATTTTCAACTAAGTTTCCGAACTTGATACAGAAAATAAAAAATTCTTCACAAAAACAAATCTTTCTTATTTATTTTGTGTTACCTATTACCTCTTACCTATTTACCCACCTTTTATTTTGCCTATTTAATTTTTCTTACTTTCGATTACCTAGAGAAATAAGTTTTTGGAATTTTTGGATAGAGTTCGGGAACTTAGTTGGTGACCTAATAAATTTATTGTTTCATATTATTGATGTACTTATAGTGTGATTCCATCATCCTCAACTATCACTACAAATGTGACGCAATGACTGATAATAAAGATAAATATCTGAACGAGACATTATTTCTAGTGTCTCACTATTTTTTCAGCAGTGCTAATTTTGGAAATGACGTTCTAATATCATGCCTCTACCCCTATTTGCACGCTTATCTTCATGGAAATCAAAACCAAATATATTTTATGTCCTTTTTTCAATCCAGAAACCTTTTCGCTCAATTCTCTGAATCTTTTTTTTTTCGACATCAAAACTCCATTTGAGATTCCCCTAATCTTCTCTATCATTCTCATAGTTCCCTATCTTGAACAGAAAAGTCCTATCCTCTTTTTTCCGATTCTCATTAGCTTTTATATGATTCTGGAGACAAATGATGAGTAAGCTTTCCAGTTCTGTTGGCAACCTCGTAGAAGTGATTGGGTGTGAATAAATTTGTGTGAAATGGCTTTCGGAGACCTATCGCTGATCGAGAATGTGTTTTTTACTTTTCCAAAAAAGAAAGAAGTTTGTTGACACCATGGGGGCCGAGGGTTTGGCTTATCCGACGGACGGATGCGAGCCCACGACGTTGTATGTATCGCCGAGAACCACTAATACAACTTCGAACTTCAAAATAAATTTTACGTCAAATTAATGCAGAGTTATGGCTTTCATTTACTAGCGATCGAATGCGAGGGAACTTATTGGCACAGTGAGAAAATTCGGGTAACAGGATTTTATTCGATCAACTTTAAATAATGATTAACTATAGTACTTTCACGTCATAATCTGTCTTTGCTGTTATTAGGTGTGCAAATATGACCCTGATGCTTTTTCTTTCTGCTGTAACTATCGTAAAAATAAACATCTGCAGATTCTTCTTTCTTTTTGCTTGAAAGTGAGTAAAAAATGCTATTTATTTTTATGTTCTTTTACCTACGGGTTTTCGCCTTCTACATCCTCCGTGAGAGGTCGGTTGATTTTCATTCCTACTTCTGATTTTGATTTCGACCTAAGATCATTTTCGAATCAACTAGTAGAAAGCATGGCAGAGGATCCGTCGCTGAAGCCCATTCCTTGGAAACGGCATCATGAAGACCTGAAAAAGCCCTTGCAAGGTTACGTCAGGAAACCAAGTGATATTATCTGCACGACCAGCAATATATTGGAATATGTGCTGGGGTCCGCACAACTAGTGAAGACGAACCCATCTAAATATCTAAGTATAAGAAGTTTTTCACATACAAAATATTTTATATGATGGCCTTTATAGAACTTTGAAGGCAACGACTATTGTATCCGAAAAACGCCATTTGCAGGAAATTTACTTTGCGGATTCATCAACCAAAAGTAAATGAAATTGCTCAATTTTAGTATCATTCAATTGCACATTTTCTGGCAAATATTTCGGTCTACAACTTGCCTATAGATGCTCTACGAGGAGCTGTCGAGGAAACAGATTCGCTTGCTACTCATGCACAAACGGCGCGTAGAGAGGCGAATGCCAGTGAAGCGGCGCACAAGTTTAATGGACCTTGGAGCGAGCTCCATCTTCCAGCAAGTACGGGTAAGTTGTATACCAAAATATTCGCAAGAAAATGCGCAGTGAAACGATTTCGAGGCCATGCAATTTCATTGCAAAAATCATATTAAAGAATTAAAGTGGTACGAAATTTGCAGTTTTGCTGCGTAACAACGCTCGACTTCATATTGTGAATGCTGATCGAGAACATGATGAAACAGCTGAGATGGGAGGTTACGATAATGTTTTACCTTACCTGCCTTACTCTCATGACATTGCACCGTCAGATGATCACTTGAAATTACCAAATTCAAACTACAAATCAGCAAATTTCAAAGAAAATGGCGTTTTGCGAGTACAAAAGTCACCATCTTCAGAGTCCTTTGAAGACCACCATATAAAATATTTTGTTTATAAAAAATAGAGTAAACAGCGTTTTCAACGCAATTTCAAACAGAAAAAGCTTGCGCATCTTTATTTTCACTATAATGAAAAAATCATAGCGAAAAAAAAAACGGCGGAATCATATTTGTACGCCTAGTACTATGATCATTGTGCTGATCAAGAGGAATGTACGAGCGTATCTGGCTCAAGATGCGTGAATGCACGTGAAAAAAATTCTACTTACTGCGCTACCCGTAACCGTTTAATTCTAGACATACAAGGTTAGTACTGACTTATTCTGTATTGTTAGCCTTGACGTTATTCTTATTATGCTTTTCACTGCAGCTTAGCAGCCTTGTTATAATTTGTTGCGATTATTCGCTTATGCAAAATAGTGTGAACTCGTTGCATTGCAACGTCTAGACATTCATCAGCCATTCGAGCAAAAACGGATAATCCTTGTGCTTTCTACTGGTATTTCATGCTCACATCTACTTTTGTTTATTACATCTTGATTCTGATTATGGAAGAATGTCTATTTGCTCTTATCTTTTAAAACGTCGTTATTTCTCCACGATTATTTCTAATAGATGAAAATTTTCGCTGAATTTAAGGTACACAATGTTTCCTTCAACGAACGGGCTAATCTCGATAATGTTGCTATTGTCCGGTGTCATTTTAGTGCACAGCATTCCATCAGCATTCCTTTGCAGAGGTCAAAAACGAAGAGATTGTTTTGGTAAGTTGATGAACAGCTACGACAACGTGTACGAATAGTAGATACATTGACGATTAGGCGCTAGTTATTAAACTCATTTAATTCTTGTTGATTTTGTTTGGCAGTAAAGATCAAACGCTGGTCAGCTTGAAAATCTCGCTGTTTCCGTCCTTGTGAGTAGGTCGTTTTATACATATTATCAGATCGATTCATTCATCATGGCTCACCAAGCCATTCATCCCTCCGGGGTAGGTAAATTGGTACCAGACAGGTCTCAGACTTGTCTGGGAGGATAAGCAGCACTGACTCGGTTCAGCGGGAGGCCACCGCGAGTCATTGTAAAGGCCAGATGTGCATTCAATCACCTCAAACGAAGGTAAAAATTGAAGTCGAATGCATGGCGCATCCCTCAGGGATAGATTAACGCCGAGAGCTTTATCCTTTATCCTTATCAGGTCGATTCATAAATTTTGGCACTAGAAGAATAAACACAAAATTTTCTAACCAGCTTCAAATAAAATCGTCTGGTTTCAACATCGTTCAAATGCGCAATTTCTTGCAAATATTTTGGTGTACAACTTCGCCATACTGGTGATACGATGGAGCTGTCGTGGGAATAAATTCGCTTGTTACTCATGTAGGAATGGCGTGCAGGGGAAAATACTGGTGAAGTGGCGCCCAATATCAATGGAGTTTTCTCTAGACGCCACGAGCGCGACTGGTCCTCCGAACTGTTCTCTCTAT